GGTTTAAGTGTGTTTGTCATCTGAATCTCTAAACCGTAGTATTTTGGAGCTGAGGAAATCGATTATCAGCAGAGAAAATGTTTAGGGCTGGACGTTGACAGACTTAAATGTCCTTCATGTTATTATGATCCAGGTACCATTTGCTACGAAGGGGCCTCCAACCTTTTAGAATCAGAGAACTAACTAGGGTCGGTGTGATTTAAAAACCCTGTCATTGTTTTGGTTCAGCCGGCAGTTATTGCTCTCTCTGTGACACATAATTACCACCTAATTAGTAGTTTGGATTAATTATATGTCTCGTTAACTGTAACCTCTAAATGCTAAAACAAAGAAGTAATTAAAATGAGGTGGGTTAAAGGCTGTGGGGAGTCGAGGGTAGGGTGCGGCAGTGATGTGTTAGAAAAGTCACAAACGGGGTTGAATCTTTTCAGTATTATTCTGAAGTCGTAACCACAAATTTGTCCAACAGGTAAAAATCATTTATTCACACTGACAGTTCATATGAAGTCAATTTTTTTAATATATATTTAGTGAATCATAAAGTGACTGAACTCATCTTTGTGGAGTAATAGAAATTATACTTGAGCTAATCTGGACCCCTTTTTTGGGGTAGTTAGAAGCATTTTATTAGATATGATGTGATTGTAAAAGGTTGGACCTTTGTTTGGCCTCATATCAAATCAATCAAATCAAATAAAATATACTTTATTAACCCCAGAGGGAAATTAGAGTTAGAGAAGATGTTTCAATGGTTACTTTTCTAGAACTACACAACAGCTTTGATAAATTCCAATCTGGTTTTCGTAAAAAGCATTTAACAGAAACAGCATGGCTTAAAGTTTCCATTGACATCATGATGGCTGCAGACAATGGGGAGTTTACAGTGTTAGTATTGTTATATCTTTCTGCAGCTTTTGACACTGTTGATCACAGCACCTTAATTAACAGACTTGGTGACTCAGTGGGGATCTCTGGAACTGTTCTAGACTGGTTTAGATCGTACCTTTCTAACAAAAGTTACAGTGTCTGTATAAACCCTATCATGTCAGATTCTACCGATCTGTTCTGTGGGGTACCTCAAGGCTCTGTTTTGGGTCCACTGTCATTTCTACTGTACATACACCCTCTTGGACAGATAATTGATTCTTTTTTCATAATGTCTCTTATCACCTATATGCAGATGACATTAAGCTGTACTGCTCCTTTAAGAATCCCGAGTTCTGTAAACTGTCTGAATTACTAGAGTGTCTTTCAGCTATCACCAACTGGCTAGAAGAACTTCCTCCAGTTAAACTCTGAAAAGACTGAATGTCTGATCATTACCCGAGAGCATGGTTCCCCTGATTAGTCTAAAACTTGGTCATTTATCCTCTGCCGTCAAGACAAACTTAAGGAATTTGGGTGTTGTTTTTGACCAATCAATGTCTCTTTAAGGCCACTCAAAAACATTGGTTGAAAACTATTTTTATCACTTAAGAAATATCTCCAAACTGAGAAGCTTGGTGTCAAAACATGAACTTGAAATGGTCAGCCATGCCTTTATACTCCACATGTTTTAACAAAAAAGCACTTGGTCGCCTTCAGTTGGTCCAGAATTCTGCAGCAAAGCTCCTAACTGGAGCAAACAGAAGAGCACACATCACCCCTATTCTAATGTCTCTGCACTGGTTACTCATTAACTTTAGAATTAATTTTAGAATCCTGACTATAACTTTCAGGGCGGCTCTTGCATTTTCAACCGTTTTTGACCGCAAGCCGCTTCTGGGATGCAACGATTTCTGCAGTTAACATAGGGCTAGACAAGAAATACAGCGTTTCAATATAAAACCTCAGGTAATATTTTCTAGATAAAAGTCGTCTATTCCAGCGATGCAATTTCATATCCTTGTAGATTATGTCCATAAAGTGACCTAACGGCTTATTTACCCCCTGCAACGTTCCAGAAACGCAGCGGTGTGTTTTTCATGGCTTTAATCCTGGCAGTGGAGAGGAACCACATCATATATTGCATCAGTTATGTCAACAGTGATTACTGTAACGTGAGGAAATATGGGTTTTCTGTCACAATGGTGGTGTTGGACGCAGCTGGGTCATAGCTGGGTCGCTGAGAACTTTCACCCACAGATTAAGACCTGAACGCCAGCGAGTCTGGGAGGAAACCATAACATCTGCCACCTGCAGTCTACCAGAAGATGTGTTTACATGAGTTGTACCCAGACCAAGTCAAAACATAAAGTTTAAACTTCTTTTTCGTGATTTTAATGTTAAAATAACCATTATCATTTTGCTCATTATAAATGTGTTTAATCAAATGAATGACTAGTATGCTTTGGGGTAATTATAATGGTTTAATGAATCCACACTTAAGTAGATAATGTTGAATGTGTGGTACTGACCTTCACACTCAAGCACACAAACATTCACACACACCCACACACATCTGCCCACAGTAAACTCCAGACACATTTGATGACGCACATGTTTTGCTTTGAGAAGAGAGGTTTTTGGTAAGTTTTCAGTTTTATGAGGCAGTTCGTGTTGGACAACGGGAGAGAACAGACCTGAAAACCAAAGGGGGGGCAGAGCCTGTTGGCTCGTTCTTCCCCCCTTTCACGCTGTTTCTGCCAAGCCAGGCAGAATAGCTGAATCGCGACTTCTAACGAAGACTCATTACCGAGTCTTTTGATTTCTGAGTGAATTAACTTAAGAAAGCGCATCGATAAAACGCTCTACCATCCACGTGTACCGAGGGCAACTCTGGACCGGTTCCGTTCGACACCTACGTCTCCTGTCAGCCGCCGGTGTCATCTGGATGAACCACAACATCCTCCACGGCCCGGATCCGAAAGAGGGTCCACAAGAGTTCGGTGAGACAGAACACGGTTTTAGCGTTTGATGCAGTTCTCTGATAAGACCTAAGTTTATCCAAACCATCACTTCACTCAGACACCTGTTTCTTCCTGAAGCAAAATCAGGCTCACACACGCATTCATGTCACAACATTCTCAATCTTCATAAATTCACCAGAAGGTCTATTTGAGCAAGAACAGCATATAAACTGTTAAAAGATTGTCCCACAAAGTTGCCAATGTGATTGTTATTTCCTGTTTGTCAATTTTCAAAATCATTAGTTTAATTTGAAGAATTAAAACTGTTAATCCTTCAAACTTGTTTCCTCATTGAACTGAAACACAGACACTCAGATATTATCGGCAGTTTACGGATTAAAACAACCTTTGAGTCTTCTGAACAATATAAAATTTGGTTATTGATTTATTAAAATTAATATTCCGAATTAATACGTAGCATGGTTTCTCTTTCATAAAAGAGCATAAATCCATAACGCTACATTACCTTCTTTTGATGTAATGGTGGACAGCATAAACTCGAGGAATTTTGTGATCTTATGAGGCAAGCGAGGACTACAACGGAGAAGCTGCTTGTGTGGTTGGTGCTGGAGTGCAGCAATTGTCATGAGTAAACCTTTCCACTGCCGTTCCACGCCGCTTATGCTTCCAGTGTGCAGTAGGGGGTACGTGGTGCCTGTATATTTGCTCCAAACATTTTGCTGGACGGTGAGTGCCAGAGGTGGGTGGTATGTTAAAAGTAGTAACAAAAATAATAACCTAAGAGTAAAATAAAATAACTTGTTATCTGAGGACTGTGAGTAATGAGTTAAGCATAAGTTTGAATTTTTTTCTGTTTATTTGTTTCTATCAGTTTGTTTTTATCCACATCCAAGGTCTTTGTGTTTTTTCAATTGGCAAATATGGTTTGTTCATCTCGCGTTAGCACCCAGCAGCACTTGCACCGTGACGTCAACTGTAGAATACGCTATTTATCCACACAACTGCTGCTCACTTGGTGTTTTCTCTCTATCAGACAATTCTCAGAGGGAGAAAATCCCAGTAGATTTTCAGAGATGCGGAGACCAGCCCATCTGGCACAAACATGCCACATTTAAAGAATTTGAAGTCCCCATTCTTCATGCTGGGCTTGAACTCTCAGCGAGTCGTCTTCACCACATCTAGATGCTTAAATGCATTGACTTACCGCCATATGATTAGCAAGCAAATGCACATGTGTACCAAATGAAACGGGCAGTCTTACTAAGCCCTTTTCTGAGTTTTATTTAGGTCATGAAACATTTTTAAATACATTTAGAGAATGTCACCTCTATTTTTAATCACAGTTTCAAAGCAGATGAATATAAAGCCCTCTTTTTCTCATATTTGTGTGCTTCTAGAGCTCAGGGAAGGATTTGAAGCTTTTATTTAGGCATTACTTACTGTGACCTAAATCTTAGAAGATTGAAGATGATTAATTCCAATGTGTACCAGAGGCATTTTCTATGTTTACTGATTGTGTGTCATTAGGCATTAGAAAATCCATATTTTCCAAACGGCCAGAAATGGCTACTTTAGGCAGTATACTATCAGCTAAATGCTGAAAATTGACAGGTGTTTGTGTCTCACTGTCTGAGGCTTTGACTGCAGCTGCTAAAGGTCAGGTTTCTGAGTTGGATTTGGATAACGGAGGGGAATCGGTTAGTAAATCAGGTCAGTGGACATAATCCAATATAATCCACTCTAATCTCAAAGCAAGAGATTACTTTAGTAATTCATTTTAATTGTGATGGTAAAAATCCTGATTTGGCAGTGAGTGATCTACAACAGACACGGGTAGATCTGAGTTTCATAGGTGAAGTCGCAGAGTCTGGTCTGTGATAAAAGTCCAGTCAGTTTATGTCAGAACTAATGCTTCTGAAAACTCTCTATCAAAAATCCTATTTGTCACAACAAAAATGATTCAGTTAGTTTGTTCTGTAGAAAATGCTTTTCAGAAAATCTGATTTATAATACGTCTGTTTAAAGAGCAAGTCACCCCCAGACAAGGGCAAAAATCCCATTTCAATTTTTTTTTTTTGGGGGGGGGCAATAAACAGTAAAACTTCAGATAGTAATTTTTTGGGGGGACATGAAAAAAATGCTCTCTACATACAACATATAACTATAAGAGACTGACCTGAGACTCTGTGCCTGTGTCGGACAGGATCTTGCTGCCTGCGCTCAAGTGACTGGACTTTGCCTAATGAAACCATTTAGAAACAATTTCATAGGCATTTCAATTCTTTCTTATAGATGTCTTTATCAAAATGCAAGTTTCTACTTACTTGACATTCTGGAGCATTAAAAACGACCTGATGTCTGCCGTTTTTCGTTTCTCTGCCATTTCAACTGACCTGGTCTGTTGACAGTTGGACAGCAACACACACACACAGATGGGATATTGTCATTAGAACGGAGCTGAAGGATATTGATCAACAATAATATCTTCCCAATTTTGTACATCTCCATAAGCATCCTATCTTTTTGTTTTCATTTCAATAACAAGACTGTGGCCTAAAACGGAATAAGCAATTCAGAATAAAGATTTAAAAGTAGATCGTTAATAGTTGAAGCAACATGTTCTGAAATGACATGGCTATTAGCTGACCAACAGCTTCACGTGTGGACGGGTGCAAAGTATGAATTTTAAGTAAAACATATCTAACTTTTTCACAACAAAGAGAGAGAACATAAAATGTCAAATTAAAATTTTATTAAATCACATAACATGAAAGCTACTAAAATCCAAATAGTTCCATATTGATTTTAATATATTTGAAAATTTCCTTCTAAATATTGCTAGAAAAAATATCAAACTTCAAATCAGCTTTCACAAGTCAAGAATCAAAATTACTGAAATCTCTTTAATAAATCATAGACATGTTTGTAGGCTATTAGAGAATAACTCTGTAATATTTAATAACTTTATCTAAGTCCTACTGAACGAAAAGATACACAAAATCTAAAAATATATTCTTGAAGTAGTTGTTTCATTTTAATAATAAAAATTAAAAACATTTACTTTACAAATACACTAAACATATACATACTCTATAGTTTTTCTTTCAGTTTAATCGATCTCTCACTTTTCTCAGTTTTCATAGTGTTTTTGGGTCTGTGTGGCCAACGGGATCTTTGGCTCTATGTTTTACACTGAGAGCTTTAAACAACGTGCCTCCACCAGTTCATCCCTAAGCTGCACGGTGCACCTGCACTTTGACATATTGTAAACAACTGCAGAGCCTGGGGAAGACGGGATAAGAGCGGTTAAACGCTGTGGTATTCCTATAATTTCTATAATTTCTCAACAATTAAAAACACATTGTTTTGTATTTGCAGACTAACTTTTACGTTGTGGTTTTAGAAGACAATACAGGTTTACTGATAGCATTTACATTTACAATAACTTTTGTGGGGGGGACAACTTTGTGTGGGGGGGGGGGGCATCCCCCCCCCGCCCCCCCTGGGATCTCCGCCTATGCCCCCAAATCAACTTATTCTTCTGATAAACTATATAAATGCGTGTCTAATCGTGCTGCAGACACGTGTAGTCAATAGTTTTGCACTTTAGTGGATTTTAGTTGAAATTTTATTTTTCTGCCTAAAACTATCAGTGTTCTGCCATTGTCAGGTAAAAACTCTGCACTGCCATCGCTATTGGCTAAGAAGTATACAATGATGTTAGATGGTACATTACAATGTCACAATGTCGTTGTGAGCCTGTGTGTGTGTATTTGTTAGCAGCTCCGCCCTCTCGGTCTGCTAGGCAACAGCATTTGTTGCATTTTTCAAACAGAAAGTGGGAGTTGAGTAAGAATTTAGTAGGGGGTGACTTGCTCTTTAAGCATTCAGAGTACAACGATTCTTCATGACAAATAAAACCTCCAAGTGGGTGCAGCTCCATCAAAATAAATCCCAAACAACGCATTGATCCAAAAAAAAGGAAAATCCCTACTATTCAAAGTAAAATAAATACAACTAAAACAAACACACAAAAAAAAAAAAAAAAAAACCTGTGCACACCAAAGGATGCACACATGAAAACCAGGTCCACGTTTTGTCCTGAGTGCTAGAAAACCTGAAAAATGTTTTTCTTAAGCTGCTGCAGTCCTTGAAACAGAACAGCCTGGTACTTGTCATGTTTTCTTTTTGTTCTTTTTGGATGGAAGCAGCATTTCAAAAGATGCAAGCTTTTACTAGTATGAGCATTACAGTTACCCTTTGTTTTTCAGAATCAGTGTTGAGGAGTTCCATATACAACTGAATGTGTTTGAGGAATCAACAATAACATCTTACATACATTATTGTAAAGTTCTTTGCTGACTGTATTCAAATTAAAATAATTAAAATGACTGGCAAAGACAGCTTGTTCCGCTGTCAAACACCACAAAGACAGCCAGAAAAACAGTACTACAAGATACTTACAAAAACAAACTGCAAATTTTCAGTTGTAAATTCTCTCAGTTGGTATTCTTATAATAAATGTCAAAACTAGCAACTTTGTGTGAACGTACTGAAAAACATATGGCCACAGTTTAGTCAACAAGAGTTGAAACCTAGTTTTATAAACAGACACACTTCCTACCTTCATAATTTCAAGTAATTTCGCATTTCCTTGCAATTTTCAGGTTCTGTCCATCCACCCATCCATCCATTTTCTTCCGCTTATCCAGAGTTGGGTCATGGAGGCAGCAGCCTGTTATGACCACGGTCATAAGGAACATAATTTTTATTTTTATTTTTTGTACTGTTCTTTTTGTAAGCGTTACTTTGAGTGTGCAGGTGCCTTCCTAGGATTGGTGGATGATGGCCAGGAGACATTTGGATTGGTAGATCAGCTGGAGCAGAGCTGTTAAAGGCAACCTGATGAGATGCAGCTGGGTTCTTTATTCTCCACTCATTCCAATCAGCCACCACTTTATGCTCAGTGTTTGTGTGATGCCCTTGTGCTTTGTAACTATTACCTGCCATTCGAGGATTCCGTAGGGGTGAACCGCCTTTTATGTTTGCATCCTGTTTTCTCCTATTTTGGTTAGTCAGGGAGGTAGATTTGGTTGTGAGTTATTTCCTTTAAGTTTGTAGGTCAGTTGTCTTTCTCTGAAGTTAGAGGTGTTTTGTTTATTGTTTTAGGCATTGGTTCACCCTGAGTTATTAATCCTCCCTCGTCCTTAGTTCATCACCTTGATCTTGCAAATAAATTATTGTACTCGGAATTCTGGTGTGGTGATTTGGAACTGGTGGAAAATGGAACCGTTTTTATGTTACAACCTGGCCCTCCTAGACGGGTTGTAACAAGCCTAAGTTGAGAGGCCAAGACTTCCCTCTCCCCAGCCACTTGCGCCAGCTCCGCCAGGGAAATCCCAAGGTGTTCCCTGCCCAGGTGAGAGACATAGTCCCTCCGATGTGGGTCTCCCTTTAGGCCTCCTCCAGTTTGGATGTGCCTGGAAAACCTCACCAGGGAGGCGTCCAGGAGGCATACTGACCAGATGCCCGAGCCACCTCAAGCGGCTCCTCTCGATGTGGAGGAGCAGCGGGTCACTTGGAGCACTGTGTCGGGATTCGTGGCACTGCCCTGGATTGGTTCAGATCATATCTGGCTCAGAGAAGTTTCCGTGTCAGCTTAAACAGTTTCCAGTCTTCCTCTGCTCCATTGTCATGTGGGATTCCTAAGGGCTCAATACTCGGTCCTCTACTTTTTAATTTGTATCTGCTGCCTCTAGGGTCCATTTTTAGGAAGCACAAAATTGCTTTTCCATTGCTATGCAGACGATACACAGATGCATCTCCCACTGAAACAAAAGGATGGCTGCAATATAAAATCTCTAGCGGTTTGTTTGGATGAGGTAAAATCTTGGATGGCTTTTAGCTTTTTAAATTTTAATGAGAAAAAGACAGAGATAATTGTCTTTGGTACTGATACCGCCAGCAAGCCCACTCCTATGGACTTAGGCCCCCTGGCACTGCACAGAAAGCCAACAGTGACCATCTTGGGTTTTAAAATGGACAATGATTTTAGGTTGGGCAGTCAGATCAGTGCTGTTGTCAAATCCAGCTTCTTTCATTTGAGACAGTTGGCAAAGGTAAAGCACATTTTCACTAGAGAGGATTTTAAAACTGTAATCCATGCTTATTACAACTCGTCTGGATTACTATAACTCTTTGTATTTTGGTATGAGCCAGTTGTCACTGTCTCGACTTCAGCGGGTGCAAGATGCTGCTGCTCGACTTTTAACTGGTACAGGGAGGAGTGAACACATCACTCCTGTTTTATCTTTACTGCACTGGCTGCCTGTCCATTTTAGGGTTCATTTGAAACTTCTTTCATTTGTTTTTAAGTTTTTAAACGGTCTTGCCCCGCCCTACCTCTCTGAGCTATTGCACATTCACTCCTCCACTCTGTCGCTCAGGTCATCTGACCAGTTGTTCCTGGACGTTCCAAGGACACAGCGTAAGCTCAGAGGGTATAGGGCCTTTGCTGTTGCTGCTCCCAGACTATTGCAAGCACATACTAGAAAGGTCTCCTCACAGGAAATGTTTACATCATCTTTAAAGACCCACCTTTTTAGCTTGGCTTTCAACACTGCATAAAGTTTTGGATTTCTATTTGATTTTAGTGTGCTTTTAACTATATGCTGTATTCAATTTTATTCTGTTGTATGCATTTATGTTTTTATGTTCAGCACTTTGGTCAGTGAGGGCTGTTTTTAAAGTGCTTTATAAATAAAGTTGGCTTGGCTTGGCATTGAGACAATCTATTAAATGTAATGACATTGAATATGATGTCCCTAATCTTGTGAATAATTGCAAAAGGTGTTTATTACTGTGATTATACACAAAACATCAATGGCTATTCTCAAGACTTAAGTTATTCTTGTGTGAAATAAAAGCCTTTTTGCTGCTTCAGAAAAAGCAGAACTCAAAGGAGTGTGCAAAACACACTAGGCAGGAACAAAATAAATCATTAAATTGTAGTTTCTTGCAGAAGAACTAAGCCATCTTGCAAAACGGAGCAGAACATGTAGATACTTTGTCGGTGGTAGCTGATGAAGTGTATGATTTTATTTCAGCGAGCTGCTACTGATTGAAGAGTAGGATTGTTTTATTTTTTTCCCCGTCAGATGTAGCAATAGTTGGAATATGTGACCTATATATATATATATATATATATATATATAGAGAGAGAGAGAGAGAGAGAGAGAGAGAGCGAGAGAGAGAGAGAGAGAGAGAGAGAGAGCTGCAGTATTTTGACAAGAAAGGGTTTTCTTTAACAAACCTATTTTCCAAAGTAAAAAATGAGCTGTAAAATCCTACAGAAATAATAATAAATGCCAATTGTTTAATTTTTTTGGGTGATGATTAACATATTTCTTTACCTCAGTGATGCATGCATCCTGTTGATTTTGGGTAAAAAGGTCAATTTTAAATTACTCTTTTGATATTAAAAAGTTCTGCAGTATTTGAGGCAGCAGACATTGACTGTTTTCCCATCTGCCCCACAGTGGGATGATTTTGTGGAGATTGGGGGGGCTCTTCGTCAGCCATATGCACTCAGTGAGATTTCCAGTAAGATGATTTCCAACTAAATCCACGGGACATGTCATTTTTATGCTCCTATGAACCATCTGTGCATTTTGCTTTTAATAAATCAGCTTTGCAGTTTCATGTAACTAAAGCTCTCATAGACATCAAATGTAGGTAAAAAACAACAACATGTCTCTTTAATTGACTTCTAAAACTCAGAAAAAGAATTAAGAGTATTTTCTCTGTAATCTGGTGGTTTGTTGCTGGGGTGTCCTTGTGTCATTATTTAGACAAATTATAGCTGTTTAATGGGTGACAACCAGTAATTAATCTTCCAGAGTTGTATTCAGCTTGTTGAATGTTTCTCATGTGGCAGAATGTATACTGTAGTACCAGTTGATATATTTAGTTAAGTGTAGTGTTTTTAATTACTTTGCAATTGCCAGCCAATTATTGATTGGAGTCTACTATAAAAGAGCATATTTGTCAGAGCTAAAGCTTTTATCTGAGCGCTCCCTTGATGCCAAGTTGAATTTGTCTTCACTGTACTTCCCAGACAGTCTTGCCTGTATGAGTTTGTGTGTTTGCTCCTTTGTTATTGTCATCAGTCTGTTACCTAGCGAATAGGTGTTTTCTTGTGGGGAAATCCTTATTTCTGCAAACCAAAAAAAGGGTAATAATTTCCATCCATCCATTTTCATCCGCTAATCCGGAGTCGGGTCGCAGGGGCAGTAGCCTAAGGTGAGAGGCCCAGACTTCCCTCTCTCCAGTCACTTGGGCCAGCTCCTTCGGGGGAATCCCAAGGCCTTCCCTGGCCAAGTGAGAGACATAGTCCCTCCACTGTGTCTTAGGTCTACCTTAAGGTCTCATCCAGGTTGGACGTGGCCGGAAAACCTCACCAGGGAGGCATCCAGGAGGCATCCTAACCTGATGCCCGAGCCACCTCAACTGGCTCCTCTCGATGTGGAGGATCAGTGGGTTTACTCCGAGCCCCTTCCGAATGACTGAGCTTCTCACCCTATCTCTAAGGAAGAGCCCAGCCACTCTTCAGAGAAAACTCATTTCGGCTGCTTGTATCCGCAATCTCAATCTTTCGGTCACTACCTAAAGCTCATGACCATAGGTGAGGGTAGGAACATAGATCGACTGGTAAATCGAGAGCTTCACCTTCTAACTCAGCTCTCTCTTCACCACGACGGACCGGTACAACGCCCGCATCACTGCAGATGCAGCACCAATCCGCCTATCGATCTCACGCTCCAGTTTTCCCTCACTCATGAACAAGACCCCAAGATACTTAAACTCCTCCACTTGGGGCAGGACCTCACCCCTGGCCCGGAGAAGGCATTCTACCCTTTTCCGAATCAAGAACATGGTCTCAGACTTAGAGGAACTGATTCTCATCCCAGCTGCTTCACACTCGGCTGCGAACCGCTCCAGCAAAAGCTGAAGATCACGTTCTGATGAAGCCAACAGGACCACATCATCTGCAAAAAGCAGAGACCTGATCCTCAGGCCACCAAAACGGATGCCCTCCACACCTTGGCTGCACCTAGAAATCCTGTTCATAAAGGTTATGGACAGAATTGGCGACAAAGGGCAGCCTTGGCGAAGCCCAACTCTCACTGGGAATGAGCCCGATTTATTGCTGGCAATGTGGACCAAGCTCTGACATTGGTCGGACAGGGACCTAACAGCCTGTTTCAGAGGGCCTGGTACCCCATACTCCCAGAGTACCCCCCACAGGGCCCCCCGAGGGACATGGTCAAACTCCTTCTCCAAATCCACAAAACACATGTAAACTGGTTGGGAAAATTCCCATGCACCATCCAGGATCCCCCTAAGGGTATAGAGCTGGTCCAGTGTTCCACGGCCAGGACAAAAACCACATTGCTCCTCCTGAATCTGAGGTTCAACAATCCAACGGACCCTCCTTTCCAGAACCCCTGAATAGCCCTCACCAGGAAGGCTCAGGAGTGTGATCCCCCTGTAGTTGAAACACACCCTGTGGTCCCCCTATTTAAATAAGGGGACCACCACCCTGGTCTGCCAGTCCAGTGGGACTGCCGCCGATGTCCACGCCATATTGCAGAGCCGCTTCAGCCAACACAGCCCCACAGCATCCAGAGCCTTAAGGAACTCCGGGTGGATCTCATCCACCCCTGGAGCCTTGCCACAGAGGACCTTTTTAATCACCTCAGTGACCTCAGCAACAGAGATTTGAGAGGCCAACCCAAAGTCCCCAGACTCTGCTTCCTCACTGGAAGACATGTCGGTGGGATTGAGGAGGTCTTCGAAGTATTCTGTCCACCGATCCAAAATGTCCTGAGTAGAGGTCAGCAGCACACCGTCCCCACTATAGATAGTGTTGGTAGCACACTGCTTTCCCCCCCTGAGGTACCAGATGGTGGACCAGAATCTCCTCGAAGCCGAACGGAAGTCTTGCTCCATGGTCTCACCGAACTCCTCCCATGCCCGGGTTTTTGCCTTGGCGACCACCCGAGCCGCGTTCCGCTTGGACTGCCGGTACCCATAAGCTGCTTCTGGAGTCCCACGGGCCAAAAAGACCTGATAAGACTCTTTCTTCAGCTTGACAGCATCCCTAACTGCCAGTGTCCACCAGCGGGTTTGGGGGTTGCCAACGCGACAGGC